CTATATAAGGAGTAAATACTATGTTGTAAATCCTTTGCCAGGTCATAGAGCAAACTCGTTTGGTCTAAAGAACACTTTAACACTCATAGTACAGAACCCCCCCAAATTTATGTTTTTGTGGGTTATACCTATTGCTGTGTATTGCATTACTAATTAAAGCTGATAAAATTTAAAATATACATTTATTAATTCAGTTAAAATAATAATAAACCCGTCATGTTAACAAAAATATTTTTATTAAAAACTGTATTATTCAAAGTAAAAAAATAGTGAAGAGGGTGCCATTTTTTTTACATTTTTGCAAATGTCTGGCTTTAATAGAAGACAGCCGAATTCTCTTATCTGCTTCTGCATTAAATCTGTTGTGGTCTCATGTTCTATAGCCTCTGGAAGACTCCTCCAGAGAGAATGAGAACAAAGGAAGCAAATAGCATCTCAGTACATTTATGAACAGAGTTTTGACGTTGTGAACCCTCAAGGGTCTCAGGGACCTCCAAGAATTCCTGGGCCATGCTTCGAGAACTGCTGTGTGTGCTAGGGTTAGAGATACAGACATGGAAGAGCCAGTATCTTTCCCCACCATCTGCTAGAGGAAAGAAACAAAGGATATTTATAGCCCAGTATGGTCCTTGGTGTGCTCAGGATAGGGAGGTGGCTTTGGGAGCACAGGGAGAGAGGCCTAATTCAGTCTGGGTGTGTTTTCAGGGGTGGGGGGAAAGGGGAGGCTCAGAAAATGCTTCCCTGCATTTGTGGTGCCTGAGCTGATGATACTGTAGACAATTAATTGCAAAGGGAACCACCTTGTCTGAAACCCCTGATGCTCGGGGCTCATCATGAGGGCGACCTAGGGTATTTGGCTTACAGCTTTATTAGGATTATGTATTTAGTGGTGGTGGAGGAGAGGCTTTTTTGTGCCTGTCCCCTACCTCTGATATTCCACAACTTCCCAGAAAGGAGCCAGATAGTCCACATAAATAAGAAGTGAAATTGGCCTGCCAATGCTTTCTTTCTGAAGCAGTGAGAAGCAGATGAGCATTTTGCAGTGAATATACTATAAACCAGGTAATTGCCGTTCGTTGTTCTGAACATCTTGGGATCTAAGGCATGAAATGGAATTTGCAATAAAAATGTATCACACATTTCCTATCCTCTGGAACAAAGTTGATATCATAAGCCACAAAAGTTTTATTTATTAGTTTGCCAGTAGAGAAACAAAAATATGGTGGTTCTATCTGAGGTTAAAAGGAATTTGCACTGTTATGTCAAATCCTTTCACTCATTTTTGAATATAACCTTTTAAAATATTCTTCAATGAGCAAGATGGCTAGTTTTATGTGTCCATCTAGCTAGGTTATAGTACCTAGTTATTCAGTGAAACACAAATTTGGGTGTTGCTATGAAGGTATTTTGGAGATGTGGCTAATATCTACAATCAATTGGTTTTAAGTAAAGGAGATTACCCTCAATAATGTGGGTGAGCCTCAAACAATCAATTGAGAGGCTTTAAGAACAAAAGCTGAGTTTTCCCAGAAAAGAAGAAATTCTGCTCAAGACTGCAAAAATAACCCCTGCCTAAGCTTGTAGCCTGCAGGCCTGCCCCCGTAGATTTCAGATTTGCCAGCCCCCATAATTGAGTGAGCCAATCCTTTTATTTATGCATACACATATGTATGTATGTGTATGTACATATGTACATATGTGTATATGTATATATATATGTATGTGTACATGTATATCTCTATCTCTTTCTATCTCCTATTGGTTCTGTTTCTCTGGAGAACCCTGTTTTCCCATAGATTTCATTCTTCGCTGTTTTGTCTCCTTGCACTCCCTCAGAGCACTTGATCCAAGAGTGGACCCACAGGAGATGTGCTGTTGCATTGATCACTGGTCAGAGGGAAGAATAGTTGGGGTGGGACTTACAGTTCCTCCATGAGGGACCATGGCCTCGACTGATTTAAGCACCCCAAACCTCCAAAGCCTCATCCATGAAATGGATCCTGTGCTGTCCTCTCATGGATGGTTGTAAGGATTTAATGAGATCACAGCCACAGAGCCTGGCACATGGAGGTCCCTTAAGAGTAGCAGTTCCTGATTAGTTACACTGAACAACAGTGATTACAGAAAGAGTTTTAGACAATTACACTTAGTAGTGTAAACTCCAGAGTAAGTTAAGGGCTGGTTTTAGGGGTTAAAGATGTTTAAAAGGCATTGAAGTATAAGATATTGAAGGAATAACAATGTTGGGGAATTATAGATGTAACAATCATTTTGTTCAGTAAGTAAGACATTTTTGTGTGGAAAAATGAGTTGGCTCCAGCAACTGAATGTGAACATTAAACCATCAAAATCCCTGCCCCACTTCTTCCTATTCCAAATGATCCTCTTGAATGGCTCCCAATCTTCTTTACAGACGTCATCTAATTTTCCCATCCCCTGGGAGTTCTGTTAGGTTGTGAGCCCAGCAACAGGTTTATTGGGTAGCTTGAGCATTGTCTACCTGGGGCACACCGGGTCCCATGTGGGTCCTGACCCTAGCCTGCTGAGCTTCAGAATCAAAGGCGCTTTACTGTGGACATACAACATGCTAGTCACCGAGTCAGCTCTGACCCAAGGTCTCATTTTATCTTCCTCCCACTAACCCTGCAGAATTAGTATTACCTCCATTTTATAAAAGGAGAGGGAGCAGAGATCTGGGAAGATTGAAAGACTTGCCTAAGATACCCTGTAGGTTACATGGTATTAGAACTATGACAAGAAGCTCAGGACCCCTTGGACCTAATCTCAGGCTTTGTCTTGCACAAGCTTTGAGCAGTTGGCTTTGTCCAGATGGCTTATGTGGAGACAACTGAAACTCACTTTTGTAAGATTATACAATCCCTCAGTGCACATTTCTCCCTAGCCTTGCTCCTGGCCCACATGCCAGTACCCAATAGGATGATGGCATGTGGCTCATCCCTGGGCTGGGGTAAGGACTTTGAGAGAACCCACACTCCAAACAATTATTTATGGGTATAAAATGACAGACGGAAGGGAAGAAAAAATAGGAATGGTGAATAAATGGCTGGGTAAATGGATAGAAGGAAAGGAGGTAGGAAGGGAAGGAAAGCAACATGCTATCCTCACTGAGAGCACCTATCCATCAGTTAAGGATTAACAACTCAGTCATCTTTTCCTCAAATGCTTGTTCAACCCAATTAAAACAGTGAAATGTAACCCTCATCTTCTGTGAATATTTGCATGTATGAGTCACACACATGGGATTTGTATTTAAAACTCTCTAATTGGTACCTCTAGCAAGAAAGATACATTGCCTCTAATTAAGTGATGGCAAATGTCACCTTATGATTTGGGAGGCATGCCCTCTTTCTATTTGGGTGCCGTAGGAATACCTGCTCACTGGAATCAAAGTGCCACTAATTACTTCAGGCACTGGAGGTGCCAGCGAGGCAGTGGTGTGCTCACCTCATTTACCAATGTTCTGGGCACTGTGTTAGGTCCTGTGGATATCATCATGACCAGGATGCTGTCTCTTCCTGCAGAGGGCTCATACTTGTATGGGGAAGAGGGACAGGGAAACAGCTGATGGCAATGCAGTGGACCTGTAGCATGAGAGCAGGTGGTACAGGGTGATATAAGGTGCAGAGAAGGACAACTGGAGGAGGTGGGGCTGGATCTGAATCTGGAAGGATGTATAAGCAGGAGTCAGGAGGAAGGAGAGGAGAGGAGTAGATGGCACAATGAGGGCAAAGGTGTGGGTAATCGGGGAGCTGGTGCCTTTGGGGGGCTTCATCTGATCTTGTAGTTGAAGGCAGGATTACTGCTGATGGATCCTAAGCAGGAAAGTGCAAGATCAAAGATCAGAATTGCCTGTCGTCAGGCTGACCTCTCCTGGACAGGGATCATATCCTACTCTCACTCTGGAGCAGGGAATAAGTATACTTTTTAAAAATGCTATTACAGTTATTGTAGTTAGGAATCATTTTATTGCAAGCACAGGTACTCTGCTCAAACAAGTACAAATAGAAAAAAAAATTGGTGCCTGGGCAGAATGAATGAAAAACTTCACTTGGCAACTTCAGACACCCAATAGGCTGATGAGTCCATGAAGACTGAACAGGACCTTGACTGGAAAACAAGTGTGGATGGCCAGCCTCTGTATCTCCTGCAGCTGCTTGGGGTGCTTCTCTTGTCTCTGCTTATTGGCTCCCAAATCCTGTCTCCTGGCAGATTAGCTTTCTCTGATTTTAATGGCTTCTCAGCTCCTGCTAAACTTGGAGTAACCATTACACGTATGCCCCCCCAACTGCTTATGGCCTTTTATCTCAAGTATTCATCACCAGGGATGCCTGGGTGGCTCAGTCATTTAAGTGTGTGACTCTTAGTTTCAGCTCAGGTCATGATCTCAGTGTCATGAGATCAAGCGCCACATTGGGCTCTGCACTCAGTACAGAGTCAACTTGGGATTCTCTCCCTTTCCCTCTCCCTCTCCTTCTGCTCCTCCCCCCTGCTCAAGCTCTCTCTCTCTCTCTCTCTAAAATAAATGAATGAATGAATAAATAAATAAAATCTTTAAAAAAATTATCTATCACCAAATAAATTATAGGTTCTGGGCCTGCCTCCTAAATGAAAATTGAAAGATCCAACCAACTTGCCCAGCCTACTCCACCCATTGATTTCCCCTGGGTTTAGATATCCACCCAGGTCTCAGCACCCTTGCCAGGGCATCAGGTCAGAAGGGGGGAGTTGGGTATGACAGGCAAAAGACGAGCCTGACCACAAGAATGACCTGTTTACTGGGGTGTAAGTTAACCTCTCTAGAGGATTTTGTAATCAGTACAGTATGTTGTTTTTGTTTTTTACTAACAGTTCACTTTTATCCAGAAGGAAGTATTGGAGTTCTGAGGGTCAACTTTAGGATGAGAATAGAAAGATTGAAAGGGTAAATCATTAGCTGCTTGGCCCTGCTTCTTGGATTGAGTGTTAATGCACTTTTTCAGAGGTGGAGGCAAAGAGAGAAGGCAAGGAGTGCTCCTGAGAATGCATCTGCACTCTAGTTAAAGACGCATCGGGTGGCAAGACCTAATTTCTCTGTAAATGGAGCAGAAATATCACACTGGTGTTTCCTCTGTATGAGTGCAAAGATACAGGCATTTCTCCAGATGCTGAAACAGCATGAGAAAGACACAAGACAGAGGTAAGAAGCAGTCCTAAGGGGGCATGATATGACAGAGTTCAGCCTCAAGAAGAGTTGTGTAACAAAGAGAGATGTTATCGCGTGAAGAACTGATAAAAAGTCCGTTCTTCTGAAGTTACAACCAAATGGAACAAAGCATGAGCTGACTGGTCTCAGTCTATTGGAACAAAAACACAGAACAGTCATCAGGGGAGGGAAGAGATTGCCTAACAACAGCCAAGGCATAAGCATCAACACCTTGCTTCTTTCTGGAAAGGAGTTGGTTCTCTGGTGTCCCATAAAGCCGGCATTTGGAGGTGGCTCCTGGATGAATCTATACATGCCATTAATCCCTGGGTGATGTAGATACTATCCATCAGTCCAGTCTCTTGGCTGGACTTGCCCTTCAAACTTCATTCTCAGCCAAACCTAACTATTCACATTTCCCCTGTGGTTTACCAGGTGCTTTTACCATTGGTCTTTTCCTATGCATGTTCCTCTGCCTGGGACCCCCACATCCTTTATCCCTGCTTAATTCCTACTACTCATGACTTCGAATCTACCGTCTTCAGGAACTAATTCTGGATTACCATGCCTAGATTAGCGCTTCTCCTTTCTTTTTCCGTACCACTCTGCTTTTTCTTTGCTTATCTATCTTTTGCCATACTAGTTATCATGGACCCCTCTCCAGTCTGAGTGTCCCTTGAGGATAAGAACTTTGTTCTTACCACATTATAAATTATATGTAAAATTTATACATAATAAAATTCTGCCTTTTGAAATGTGCACATTGCTAAGTTTTCCCAAAGGCACACAGAAATGTAACCCCACCACAATCAAGATACAGAACATTTCCGTCATCCAAAATTTCTCTTATGTCCCTTTACAAGCAAATCCTACCCCATCCCCCAGATCCTGGCAACCACTGATCCATAATCTGTCCTTATACTTTGGCATTTTCTAGAATGTCATGTGAATGGCGTCAAATAGCATGTAGTCTTTTGTGTCTGACTTCTTTCACTTCATTTCACCAGAGAAATGCTTTGGATATTCAGTCATTTCGTTGTATGGATCAGTAGTTGATTTCTTATTACTGCTGAGTAGATGTCCATTCTATAGATACACTGTAATTTGTTTATCCATTCACTAGATGGCCATTTTATTTTCCAGTTTGGTACTCTTCTGAATAAAGATTCTATGAACATTTACATACAAGTCTTTTTGGGTAATTTATGTTTTCATTTGTCTTGGGCAGATCCCAGGAATGGAACTGCTGAGTCATTTTATAAGAAATTGCCAACTATTTTCCAAAGTGACTCTATTATTTTACATTCATACCAGCAGTGTATGAGAGTTTCAATTGCTTTACATCTTCATTAGAACTTGGTATTGTCAGTCTTATTTTAACCATTCTAGTGGTGGTGTGGTGACATCCAATTGTGGCTTTAACTTACATATCCTTGTTAGCTACTAACGTTGAGCATCATTTCATGTTCTTATTTCCTCTGATAACAGGTCTGTTCAAATATTTGCTGCCCCCCCCTTTTTTTACAGATTATTTTTCTCATTATTGAATTGCAGGAGTTCTTTATATGTTTCTGGATATAAATCCTTTGTGAGATATGTCTCACAAATATTATCTCCCGGTCTGTGGCTTTTAAAAAAAATGTTTTCTGAAGAGTGTTTTTCAAAGAATAGAAATTCATAATTTTATAAATTTTGATGTATCAGTTTTATCTTCTATTCATTGCTCTTTTTGTCCCTTCTGATAAACCTTTGCCTAACTCAAGGACACCGAGCTTTTCTTTTATGCTTTCTTTTAAAGGTTTCACAATTTTTAAGGCCTACATTTAGGACCACGATCTATTTAGAGATAATTTTTGTGTATAATGTGCAGTATAATTGAAATTCTTTTTTTTAAAGTATGGATATCCAATTTTTCTCAGCATAAATGAAAGACTATCCTTCCCCTCCATTACATTTTCTTGGAAAGTTTGTCAGAAATTAATTGACCACGTGTTTGTGTGTCTTTTTCTGCACTCTTTCTTTTTCTGTTGATCTGTATGTCTATCTTATGTTAATACCTTACTCCTTGATTAGGGTAGCTTCATAATAAGTTTAAAATCAAGTAGTGTGAGTCTTCTAACTTTGCCCTTTTTGTTTCAGAATTGTTTTGGCTATATCAGGTTTTTTCATTTTCATATAAATTTTGGAATTAGCTTATCCATTTATAAAATCCTACTATTATTTTGATTTGGTTTGCATTGATCAATTAGGGAAAAATTTACATTTAACTATCTTGGCTCTACCAAATCATAAACACTGTCTATCTCTCCATTAAGACTGCTCCAGGTCCTCTTTAAATTCTTTCAGCAATGTCTTATTAGAGTCTTTGGTGTACAGATGCTACATGTATTTTGTGAAAGTTATTCCTAGGTATTTCATGGTTGTTGATATTATCATATTAGCGTTTTTTATTTAAATTTCCAATAGTTTACTGCTAGTCCATAAAAATATGATTGATTTTTATATATTGACTTTATGTGCTGTGGTCTTCCTAAACTCACTTATTAGTTCAAGTAGCATTTTAGTAGATCCCATAGAATTTGCTTCACTGAGGATCATGTTCTCTGCAAATACAGTTTTACTGTTTAATTTACAATCTTATTTTTTTTTCTTGCTTTACTGAATGGGTTAGAACTTCCAGTACAGTATGAATAGTACAGTACAGCGTAAGAGTGGATATCTTTGTGTATTCTTCCTGCTCTTAGGGGAGTGCATTCACTCTCTAACCATTAAGCATGATATTAGCTATAGGTTTCTACAAAAGTTCTTTATCAGGTTGAGGAATTTCCCTTCTAGTCCTCATTTGCTGATTGTTTCGATTATGAATGGATGCTGAATTTTGTCAAATGTTTCTTTCAGGAGCTCTCCTCCCCATTTTACCCTCAATCCTTAAGCTGTTTTTGCATATTTAAGGTGCCCATAAATACTTGTTGAATGAATGGAGCTGGGCTAAATACTTCTGAGGGTGCAAGGCCACACTTCAGCCACTCAGAAGCATGAAATGGGCTTAGGGGAATTTAAGAATATTTGAATGCCTATTCACGTCAGAGGTACTAGATTTGCCTAAATGATCTCATGCAATTTTTGCAACATTCCTATGAAGATAAGTATCTCCATTTTACAAATGAGGAATGAGTAATAGATGGAATGATTAAAAAGCTGTAATATGGTTGGGATGTGGGGGAAAGGTCCTGTGTTTCATAACTCAATAGAAAGAAAAAAACAATCATTATGTTCAGAAAACAAAGAATATACAAAGGAGGATGGCCTCAAATATTTCAGTTATTTGATGGCATGTCTGGATATAGAGAATGTCACCTGTGGAATGACAGTTGAACCTTGCATAATACTTAGCTCAGCCATGAACAAAGGTCTCATAGTCAAAATAATGTAAATTTAGTTATTGGTTTGCAACCCTGATGATTTGATCTATAGACAAAACAAAGATTTGATTTTGCTTACACATAAAAATGCAAATGTTTATCAACTTTGACAAAGAAAAAGTCAAGAAAGATCTGAGATAAGTTAGAAGATGGGAGAAAAATAAGGAATTTGTAAGGAATGTTAACACTCTTACAGAAAGGGAACATTTAAACCCCTCTGAGCTTCAGTTCCTCACCTGCAAAATGAGATATAAAATCTTATCTGATGGGGTTATAGTGAGGATTAATGAATGTATGTAAAATGCCTAATATGTATGTAAAATGCCTAATATGGAATAGGTACTCAACTAAAAGGAGAAAAGGGTGGCAGACCTATGATAGAAGGAAGTAAACCCATCCCCACTCATGAGGGAGAACCTCAACTCTAAGGTCTATGTCACCTCTCCTGCTGACACTGTCACTGCCAGAGAGCAGGGTGGTGAATCTGAGTAATGAAAGGTTAAGGGCTGTGTGTCCAGCCCAGGGCATCTGAATGACATGACAACTCTGCCAGTGGTATCATTTTCCCCATGTTACAGTTGAGGGAGTTGACACGTAGAACCAGCCCTGACGTGGCTAAGCCAGGCCTGAAACCCAGCAACTGTGACTCTAGATTTGGTTGCCTGACATCGAGTCAAACGCTATAGCAAATCTGAAACACGGGATGAGCTTGTGGCATATCCTCTATACACATTTCTAATGAATAGGCCCCTAGGTTTAATTAAAGAGGAAAAAAGATTAATTGTTTCTCCCAACAGCTGCAAATTATTTACATTGCATTTGTGTTGATGGCTAATAAAAGAGCAAAGGCGTGTGGGGACAGCCCAGGGTGGCTGTAATTCTTCCAGGGTCCATAATGAAGCACCAGTTTGAATGCCAGAATGTGAGCGTGGAGGAGCCTGCTGTCCCATTCAGACTTGCAGTGGGCAGAGCTTCTCTCTGCCCTGGGCATGATCCAATCCGCAGAAATGGATCTCAGGAGCCAAGACCTGAGAAGAACAAGGCATATATCCCCGCCGCACTAAACTGACTCTTGATTAGCTCATGATTGCTGTGGAACGGCTGAGAAGGAGCAAAATGGTGGCTAGCTTGAGGCTACCGCCAATCCTAGAGCAACTTTTAACTGACCTTTAGAAGCATGATGGTGGGGGAAGGGGACAGGAGCCACGGCAGCAGAGCTGTTCTCAATTTTATAAGCTCTTGCTTTGCAGTGGCTCCTGAAAATTATACACTATAATATGCATATATATTATAATGTATGTTATATATTATAATGTGCATGAATATATATTGTAATATGAATCTGTGTGTGTGCACATGTGTGTGCTTTTTGGATATCACCCAGTATGAGAGAGTTTTGGTCTGCCCAATTATTAGTTTTTAACCCTGTGGCCATCTTGGGAAAGCCACACTTTGTGAAAGTGGTTTCTTCATCATTTTCATAATGATCACACCTACCTCTTAGGTTGCTGTGGGGAGCATTATGTGCACGATACCATCTTTTAAACTGTGAAGCAGGGTGTGAGAATTGGCATCAGGACACCCTTGATTATTCTAGGACTCTCTCTAACCTATTGTTTTGTTTTTAAAACACCTACTCTGCAATCAGATTTGTGTGAGTGTATGTGGGGGAATAAAAGAACATACCAAAGAGACCACAGTTGAGTAATCAGATTAATATTTGAGATTATTTTTAATGCGTGTGTTGAGGATGAATTGGAGTGGAATAGGACTTCTTACTGGAAGACCAGTCAGGGGGCCACTGCAGCCTTCCAGAGAGGGGACGGCTGGGCCTGAACAAATCTCGAATTGGCAGACATGGGGTATTCACATAGGAATATTACACCAGCCCCAGCACAAGTTTTATTTAAGTTCCCTACCCTTCATGAGTGCCTGTTGACCATAGTGTCTTGTATTTGTTTGCTAGGACTACATTAACAAAGTACTACTAACTGTGTGGCTTAGAACAACAGAAATTTATTGTCTCACAGTTCTAGAGGCCAGAAGTCTGAAATCCAAGTTGTTGACAGATCCATGCTTGGTCTGAAGGTACAGGGGAAAGACCTGTCCCAGGCCTCTCTCCTGGCTTTTGGTAGTTCCTTGGCTGGTGGCAACAGAATACATGGCATTCACATGTGTGCACGTCTGTCTCTGTGTCCAAATTTCCCCTTTTTATAAGGACAGCAGTCATTTTGGATTAAGGCCTGCCCAAATGACTTCATTTTTACTTGATTACCCCTATAAAAACCCTCTCTCCAAATAAGGTCACATTCCAAGGTACTGGAGGTTAGGGTTCCAACCTATCTTTTTTTCTGGGTCACAGTTCAACCAGTAACATTTATTTGATACGCATTTTAAGTCTGTTAATTTTCCGTTAGATAATATATCATTTACCTGGTCAAATTACTGAAAAACTACTTAAATTGCTAGGTAATTCAGACTGTTAAGATAGACACAGTTTTTATATGATCAGAAAATATTCAAATGCCTGTTGTATCTTTACACATATGTTGGTACTTATACAGATAGGTATGTATAAAAAATGCAGTAACAATTTGTAATGATGGATCAGATTAGGTTGAGGTCAGAAATTCAAGCACACATCCATGATCTGCTGCTAGTTTGTTGATTGATAATGGACTTTAACCCTGAAACATCTATTAATAGATAGTAGCATTGAAGAGTTAAAGCTTGTCAGTTTTTAACAGCAGCTATCTACACTGGGCATCCAGAAATAGAAATAATGGGATTTTGGTAAGGTGAAAACCCCATGGTCTCAGAGCCCAAAAATGTGTTTGAGTCTCGGTGCTGCCCTTTCTTTGTGCTCACATGAATTGTTGAACTTCTCTCTGAATCTCACTTCTCTGGTTACTGAGGTGTAAAATGGGACTAACTAATGCTCTATGTCTCTCATGCGGTTGTTGGATGAGAGCCTATGACTGGACAAATGTGCAATATTAATAATATTATGGATTAGCTATTCAAGTGATGATCTTGAAAGTCAATCTTTGTTTTGTTTTTCCATTGTGTTCTAGTCAACAAGCACAAACCATGGATCGAGACTTCATATCACGGAGTCATAACTGAGAACAATGACACAGTCATTTTGGACCCACCACTTGTAGCCCTGGATAAAGATGCACCAGTTCCTTTTGCAGGTGAGATGATGGTGTACTGCGGTTGGGCTTGGCTCACTTTGGAGGTGTGCTGGGAAGCCTCCACAGAGCGCAGGCTCGGGCTATCTATAGCTGTTGTCATCCCCTGTGCATCTCACAGATCAGCCTGTGATTTCAAAGCTGTATGTGTCTTCTGACCGCTGGTGTGGTTCTGATATCTGGTGTGGTTCTGATTTCTGATTTATGTTTTTTTTTTTTCCCTTGGTATTGCCTCCAGTGCAAAACCTTTATTTCTTCTTTTGAGAGATGGTATATTGCTGAAATGGCCTCTAGAGTTGGAAAAGCTGGGCTAGTAAGTTCCATAGGGAAATAATTTTCCCTCTAGAGAGATGACCTGTAGACGATTAAGTATGTGACCCACTGTCCCAACTACACATATATCATGGACAGGTGAAGACTTATAATTTGGTAGATTGGCAAGAGAAAAGGTGGGGAGGGAAAAGACCAGGAAATATTTGCTAAGGATAGGACAGGGCTGTGCCCTTGAGCTTCACAGTGGGTGTGGCTTTTGGTGGAGGAATCAGAACACAGTGCCATTTTGCCCTCTGCAGCTTGTGGCTAGAGAGTCTTCTCATTATCATCAAGATTATGACTACTTCCCTCTCAAACTTCCTGCAAGGGCCAGGTCTCAGGAAGGGTGTGTGAAGAATATGGCTGTCTCATGTTTCCACAGATTTTGGCAAAGAGAATAAGATGGCTGATGGTAGGGGGAGGAAGGAATGGACAAAGAATTTCTAAAGATGCCTGCATCATGAGTAAGATTGTTAGCATTTTATAACTGTCAGGAGAAAGACAGGAAATTTAATGAAGGTTTTCAAGATTTCTAGAAGATTGCTTTATGATAGATGGGTGCCAGGCTGAGGTTTTCACCATGATGAAGTCTATTTTTTCTGACAGTTTGTCTGCTACATTATGAGCTATTTGGGCAGAAAAAATTGGCTCTTTCACACATCTAAGAGATAAGCTCTATGAAGGCCCTTTTTTCATTACGGAGCATTGTAAAGTAAGGAATGAGGGGGTGGGTTAAATGGGGAAATTCAGCATTATGTGAAGATAAACCCATAAGCATTCTTGCGGCGCATGGGGAAGGTATCTCGATTCTCAGAAGAAGGCTTTATCTTTATTTTATGTAGAATGATAACCACCAAGGGCACCTAACTGTGACTTCCATGGTGTTTAGAATTAGGATATTTCCATACACCTTCCAGCCATCCTCAGAGGTCCCAGCTCAACCAAATTCCACTTGGAAGTATGAATCCCATGCTGTCTTTTCCACAAAAGATGAGTTGTCTTCCCCAGACCTTCTTTGCCAACCTGGGAATATTCCAGTGCATCCCCTTCTTGGACATAACTAGATGATACTAGGGTTAATCAGCAATTCTTAACCTCTAGAAATGAGATTTTAAAACAAACACTAGCAAAACTGTTTCGGTCATGGAAATGTTTGGTTTGGAATGCACTGTGTGCTTAACAAAATAGAGACAGTATTTAAAAAGTGGGAGATTTAGGACAAAAACACAGGATTCTGGTTTATCTTGACGAATGAGATTGGAAATACAGGGCTAAGTCATGGCTTCCCTCTTGAGACTGAGCACGGGCTCCTGGCTTCCCTCAGCCCCTTCTCTACAGCCTGTGTGCAGAGGTCTTCCCACCAAGCAGGTCTTCTTGTTCACCTTTCTTTTCAAGTGTGTGACTCCTCTTTAAAACATAACAGAAAAAAAACAATGACATATTAAACAGGAAGTAAATGTGTGCCATTAAGTCACTTTAGTGTAGTGAAGCGAACACTTTAAAGATGAAGGATGTATCTGATTCTTCATTATGTCGACCCTCAGCATAGCCCTGTTCTCCAATAGTGAACTAGGAAATTGAAGTTGTTGAGTAACCTGTCCTACAGTAAAATTATAAGCTCCTTAAGGAACAGACCGAAATTGGGGGGGGGGCAATTTAAGCAAATCTGATATTTAGAAGTTTGGACTTACAAAAGATTACTTATTTTCCTTGGTTATGGGGCTGCAGAACAATTAATAATTTCACCTCAAGATTCAACAAAGGGTTTCTAAATCATAAATCCATCAAATGCCTTTAAACTTAAGGTTGTATTCTGACCATTCGATGTGCCCACTGGTTTTCAGACACATCTGGAAATGAAGATTTGCTTCTAAGCCAAGGCCTGAGTAGTTATTTCCATCTGAAGAAAATTTCTATGCTCCTCTTGGTATTTGCAGCTGCATGAAAAAAATCTAGCTTAATGCATCAAAATATAATCTTCCAAGCTCTTAAGAGTAAAAAATAAAGGTGCTTTTTGGAATGGTCAAAGCTATTTTTCTCAGTGTTATTTATGATCAGCTCTAAGACAGGACACAGGCACTAGCCATTCATCCATGCTGCAGACGTTTATTTTAAAACATTTATCTTAAAAAGAAAATACTGAAGATTTATTTCAGATCCCTATCATTCTCATAAAATTGAAAAATTCATATCTGCCAGCTCCATCAGTTCTGGAAGTCAACTGCAGATTTTAGTCCCCCCCTTATCAACTGTTCTTGTATTGTGTGTCAGTTTTTCTACCCCTTTCCCACTGGTCTTTATTTCCAATTTAGTCTGTGAGGTGATTTGTAAGCTTGCTGGGAGATGGTTCCATCCATATCATTTTTTCCCTGTCTAATTTCTTTTGTGAATTCCCCTTTTAAAAAATTTTTTAAGAAAAATTTCCTATGTAAAATAGCACTCATTTGAATAAAAGTCATGATCACACTTTGCATATAAATGCAAAATTCAGGGATATAGACTAGCTTTTACTGTATATTTCTTGATTGTGACAATAAGTGTTTATTGTAGAAAATGTGAAAAATATAGTGAAACACAAAAAAGTATGAAAAATATGTTTTCTTACCCCCAGAGAGAGCCTCTGTTAACACTTTAGAGTATTTCCTTCTAGTCATTTTTCTAGTCTTTTTTTTTTTTCAAAAATTGTGATCACACCTCATATTCAATTCTAACAATTTATTTTTCCCACTAAACTAATGAAAATATGCCATTTATTATATATTATTCTGTAGCTGATTAAATGACTACATGATATCTTTCTCAGTGAATATTCTGTAGCTTACCATTCTCTTTTTTTTCTAGCTTTATTGAGATATAATTGACATATAACATTGTGTAAGTTTAAGGTGTACCATGTATTGATTTGATAAACTTCTGTTTTGCAAAATGATTACCTCCATAGTCTTAGCTAACATCTCTGTCATCTCAAGTAATCACTATTTCTTTTTTGTGGTAAGAACTTTTTTTTTTAAGATTTTATTTATTTATTTGAGAGAGAGAGAGAATGAGAGAGAAAGCACATGAGATGGGGGGAGGGTCCGAGGGAGAAGCAGACACCCTGCTGAGCAGGGAGCCCAATGCGGGACTTGATCCCGGGACTCCAGGATCATGACCTGAGCCGAAGGCAGTCGCTTAACCGACTGAGCCACCCAGGCGCCCTTGTGGTAAGAACTTTTAAGATCTACTCTCTTAGCAATTTTCATGTATATAATACAATGTTATTAATATAATCACCATGCCATAAATTAGATACACCATGCCATAAACTTATTCATATTATCACTGAAAGTTTCTACCCTTTGACAACACCTCCCAATTTCCTCCCACCCCCAGTCCCTGGTAACTACCATTCTATTCCCTGTTTCTGTGAGTTGGGCTTTTTAAAGCCAATTTCACATAGAAGTAAATCCACATATAAGTGATATTATATATGTGATATAAGTGATTCCACATGTAGATGCCATATATAAGTGAGATCATGCAGTAATTGTTTTCCTGGGTCTGGCTCATTTCACTGATCATAATGCCCTCAAGGTCCATCCATGTTGTCACAAATGGCAAGATTTTCTTTCTCATGGCTTAATAACATTCCACTGTATATATACATCACATCTTTTTTATCCGTTTTGCCATTGACAGAAACTTAGGTTGTTTCCACATCTTGGCAATTGTGAATTATACTGCAATGAGCATAGGAATGCAGATATCTTTTCAAAATCCTGAATTTATTTCCTTTGGATATATATCCAGAAGTAGGATTGCTGGATCATATGGTATTTCTATTTGTAATATTTTTGAGGAATCTCTATACTGTTTTCCATAGTGGCCGTACCAGTTTGCATTCCCACCATCAGTACACAAGCGTTCCCTTTCTCTGCATCTTTGCCAACACCTATTTCTTTTTGATGAGAGCCATTCTGACAGGTATGAGGTGATAGGCAATTTGTCTGCTGCAATTCTTTTTTAATATAATATGTCTACATTTCTGATTCTATCATTTGGATGGGTTTCCAGAATTGAAATTAATTGATCAAACATTTTAAGATTCCAGAAACAGGGCACATGGATGGCTCAGTAGGTTAAATGTCTGACTCTTCATCTCAGTTCAGGTCTTAATCTCAGGGCTGTGAGTTCAAGCCCTGCTTTGGGCTCCACGCTGGATGTGGAGACTACTTAAAAAAATTAATTAATTAATTAATTAATTAAATAAAAAATAAAGTTCCAGAAACATGTTCAATTGCTTTCCAGAATAGTTGTATAAGTTTGCAGTCCCATTCTCACCACACTAGTTTCATTCCCTAACTCCTGTATGGCTCGTTCTAATGGTGTGATTTAGTGACCCATGTGGTAGAATCACCAATAACAGTAGCCTCATCATCTTCATCTGTAAAATAATACAAGCTTTCCAGTGTTGTTATTTTGATTAAATTTAAAGAATAACTATGACGCATGTTATAATGATTCAAGATAGAGTAGAAGCTTAATAAATTCAAGTTTTGTTTTGTATTGTTTTTCCATATCCTTTTCTCTGCCCATTTAGTAGAGGAGATAACCAACTCAGAGAGAGGCCAAGCAGCTTGCTCAGTATCCCAGGGCAGGCCAGCCACGGGGCTGGGACTGCAGCCCAGGGACTTTTACCACTTGTTCTGAGT